TGATTTTTGGGAGACAAAATATAGAAAAAAATATTTTTCAGAGTCATAGCCAGATGTGTGATATAAGAGCAAATTCTCCTGGAAACACAGAATGTCCATGTGTGGCATCTCAGGAAATAGCATGGGTGAGGCAGCAGGACAAAGCTTTGTCTGGGATGATCTAGTTGCGGATGGTTCTGCTTTGATCAGAGGGTTGGCGTAGATGACTTATTGAGGTCCCTTCCAATGCTAACTTTCTATGATTCTTTCTGTGATTCTATGAAAGCAACAAGGCTAGGCCCCAAACCATTGCAGGAGCTTCTATTTAACAGCAAGATGACTTCAAATTTTAAACAAGCCCCAAATAATTAGATTCTATACATGGAAAATTTATAAATTTGTTATATTTTCCATGTATAGGATCTAATTATTGGGCAGTCATCAGAAATTCAGCCCCCCCATCCACCCCCCACCACCACCGCAGCATAAAAAGCAGTGGCAAGGGAGGCAAAGACAAGAGGAAATTCCTGCTGCCTCACCCATACCATTTCCTGAGATGCCACACTTGGACACTCTGCAGATGTCATCTAGTCATGACTTCAAGAGGACTTCAAATTTAAAACAACTCCCCAATAATTAGATTCTATACATGGAAAATTTATAAATGTGTTATATTTTCCATGTATAGAATCTAATTATTGGAGGGCCATCTTGAATTCAGACCTCCCCCTACCCCACCACCACTTGAGCATGGAAAGCAGTGGCAAGGAGGCAGTCCGTGGCCAGGATTTTGTGGTGATAACAGTGTGGACCAGAGCTGGAACAGTTCCATGATCCACTGCCTGCTCGGCCCTCCCTGAGGCATGTGGGTAGCAGACTGAGGGTTTGTCCTGGCAGTGGATGCATCAGTGGCAGCTCTGGCCCTGGCTCTGGGACCAGGTCAGAACCAGAGCCCGGGGCTGCTACTACTGTCACTACTACTGCTGGGCCTGACTGAAGGGAAGTGACAGCAGCTGGGGAAGAAGCAGAGGTGGGGAGTGCATGGCATGGGGCCAGATGTGGTGGGAGGCCCATGGTAGCTGCAGCTTAGACCCTGAGCCCAGGTTGGGGCCAGAGCTACAGCTACAGCCACAGACACAGCAGCAACCTACTCCCTGCAATGTACTTTAATCCAAAAGAAGGGTTTTTTAACCATGTTGAAAGGGGAAGTACAGAGAAAGATAAATATGATAGCTCCTTATATAAGTTCTGAATATAATAATTTTGTTTCCACACCACAAGCCCCAACAGCATACTATATAGACTGCATGCAGCATCTCATGTACCTTCAGCCAGCTCAGTGGCTCTTCAGCCAAAAGTTACTGCCTTACCAGCTGTGAGAGAGTTAATACTAGATTCTGCCTTTGCTCTTTGCAGCCCCAGGGAGAAGTGGCAACTATCTTGACAGCCATGAGTTATAGTATCTATTTGTTTTATTTTTGCCTGCCTCTATTTCAGGAAACAAAAATCAGCTTCCCCACTTAAGATATATACACCAATTTTGGAGGGCTAATTTGGGGGGAAAGGTGACTGCAGTATGTGAGAAAATATGTTATTATTTTTTAATGGATAGGACAGCCAGTTGGATCATTTCCCCTCTTATCTGTAAAAAAAAAAGAAAATTCAATTCTTGATAAATTTGCATGTGCTAATATTCAAAAGCAATTTAATTTTTGTTTTCCTGTAATGGCTTGGAATGTGAAATATTTCAACTTATTTCCTCCAGACTGTAAGACACCATTAAAAGAAGACATCCTATTGTTCACAGCTGGGATAAAAGTTCAAAAGGAATATAAAATTGTATGCTTCAGGGCATGAGATGATTACTAACTGATGAGTTTTAGGAAGAAACTTTCCTTATGGGTAGGTTATGCTACAATTGTCCACTATGGATTTTTCTTGCACTTTACAAGGAAGCATCTTGTCATAGCTACTGACAGAGGAGACACAACACAGAGCCAGGTAGCTATAGACTGTTAATCTGATATAGGAGAGCAGCTCTAGTGTTCCTACCAAAGTTATGAAATACTGACATCACCAGTTTTAAGGGCAGAAATTTCTTCAATTGATTAAACTATAATTCTCTCTTCATTCTCCCTCCCCTCTTTTGTTCAAATGTTTCCCTTACTTCTTCTCCCTATTAAATATGCTGACTATGACAAGTGAAGCTTTTAAAAGAGTTCTGAACTTTTGTTTGCACGAAATTCAGGAAGTTGATTTTTTGGCTCTCCTTTATAGCATTTCTGAAATCCCAATATTTTTTCTGTGTCAGCTCTGACAAGGTACTTGAAGCTTTGACAGTTTTTATATCTTAAAACCTGCCAAGTATTGCCCATTACAGGTAAATTATATGTATAACATTTATTTTTAATGCCATATTTTATTTGCAAATATTAAGGCATATTTATTAAGGTTATGTGTTATCTGACTTAGTCTACAAGGTGTAACACTACCCTGTCTTTAGACTAACACAGCTAACTGACTCCCTCTCCTAAGGCATATGTATATTTTAATATGAAATACACCTGAGGTATAGATTTACTAACACAGTCATGGCTATTGTTCTAAGTATGACCATAAACAGCATCATCCTGGAGGGCCTGGTGGCAATGTGATGGGGCTACTCTTGGTGGGATAGCTCTTATAAAATATCACAATGTTGCAACCTCCAGAGTAAGGTGAGTATAGGGGAACTCAAAACCCTAGCTCCCACTGCCTTGTTAGTACTCCTTGACTGAAGAAAGGTTACGGGACAGAAACACACCCTTGTTGAGGCATTAGGCAGTCAGCATCCATACTTATCTGTGGCTCTCTATCAGAAGCTACAGCTATCAAGGCACTATATGTCTGGACTCACTTTGGCTTTTGGATTCTATCTCAGTGGTCTAAAGGAGGGGATGATAGGTCTGAGGCAGCATCTACTCTTGCCTAGGTGTATGCACCAATGGTCTTGGACCTGACTAGACCTCTTACATGTACATCATAATCTAAAGGATTGACAGTTGACTACTGTGTCTAGAACTGGGAATGCATAGGTTGTATGCCACAGTTTTAACATAAAAACTAGATTACAAAGACTCTTTC